ATCCTAGGTGGTTGTTAGGACGTTTCTAAGGTATTTTGGGTGGTTGTTAGTGTATTGCTACGGTTGCTTGAATGTGTTGGTCTTCTGGGCAGTTTCTAGGCCATTACTAAAGTTCTGGGAGGTTGCTAGGGTGTTGCTAAGGTATCATAGGTGGTTGCTAGGACATTGCTAAGGTATTTTGGGTGGTTGTTAGGGCATTGCTATGGCTGTTTGAATGTGTTAATGTTCTAGGCAGTTTCTAGGCCATTACTAAGGAGTTATGGGTGGTTTTTAAGGTATTGCTATGGTTGTTAGACGTTACTAAGGTGGTCTGGGTGGTTGCTAGGACATTACTAAGGTGGTCTGTGTGGTTGCCAGGGCATTGCTAAGTCAAGTCAAATGACATTTAAGCATATAGCACTTTTTTCCAATACATATTGATTCAAAGCTGCTTCATGGTAATAATCAAGATGGCCTTCTAGTTGGTTGCTAGGGCTTTGCTAAGGTGTTCTGGACGGTTGCTAGGATATTATGTCAAGCCAAATGACATCCGAATATATATAGCGCTTCATACAATGTAGACTGATTCAAAGCAGATTCACAGTAGTAAATAAAAAGGTGTTCTGGATGGTTGCTATGGCATTACTAAGATGTTCTGAGTGGTTGCTAGGGTATTGCTAAGGTGTTCTGGGTGGTTTCTAGGTGATTCCTTACAAAACCTCCCTCAATTCTCTGTGATGTTCTGATGTCTAGGTGTTAATAAGGTGTTATGGGTGGATGCTAGGGTGTTCTGGGTGGTTGCTAGGGCATTACTAAGGTGTTCTGGACGGTTGCTAGGGCATTACTAAGGTGTTCTGGACGGTTGCTAGGATATTAAGTCAAGCCAAATGACATCTGAATATATATAGTGCTTCATACAATGTAGACTGATTCAAAGCAGATTCACAGTAGTAAATAAAAAGGTGTTCTGGATGGTTGCTATGGCATTACTAAGATGTTCTGAGTGGTTGCTAGGGTATTGCTAAGGTGTTCTGGGTGGTTTCTAGGTGATTCCTTACAAAACCTCCCTCAATTCTCTGTGATGTTCTGATGTCTAGGTGTTAATAAGGTGTTATGGGTGGATGCTAGGGTGTTCTGGGTGGTTGCTAGGGCATTACTAATGTGTTCTGGTTGGTTGCTAGGGCATTACTAAGGTGCAATGGTTGATAGATAGTATCTTACTAAACCAGTCTCTGTGATGTTCTGGTGTCTAGATATGGCTCGGGACTTTCCTGTAACGTCAGTCTGAATTTTTCATCCGATTTATCATGCGCTATGTGAGAAAGTATTTTAACATCCCCCAAATAATGTGGGTATGTATATGAGTTAAAGAGCAGATGTTTTGTTCTGTTGTGTGTGTGTGCACTCTGGAAACGACAGACCTTGAACTCTGAGACGCTTTGATCCTCTGTGTTTCATCTCTAGCCTTAGATCAGTTGTGTAGCAGAGGGGAATTTACACACATGCACACACACTTTTCATTTTTAAGTCTGCTTTTAAGTAGATTCAACCGCATTACAAATTAAAAGTGGGGATGCCAATTGAACATGTTAATTTAGTTCATTTAGAGTGATTATAAGGAATAAATAAAAAACAAGGCAATAAAAAATGCATGCATGTCGGATCTGAGATATATAAACACTGACTAACAATTCTAGCTTGAACATCTTTAAAATTATCTTAATTTGAGACTTTTCTCAGCAAATATTTATACATGCAATTCATTGTATGTAATTGATGTGATTCATGTTTTTAATCAAATTTCTGTGCAAATTAAAAGTCATTTGGTGAAAAATCATCCAATTATAAATCAGTTTTTCCTTTCTCCGGCTGATTTGAGCACACATTAGTGCAAACACATCTCCGATGCCTGCTCTGTCATTCCCTCGCTTTGGCCCAGAATTCTCTTCTTTCCTTCTCTCTCATCTGTTAAATATTCCTCTCACACTCTCGGCTCTGCCAGGAGGAAGAGGAGGATGACAAAGACTTGACAGCTCCTCCGCATGGAACACAGACCCCCGCGCAAACATCCCATCCTGCCTGAGAGGGAGGCAGACAGGAAACGCATCATAAACACCGTCAGGGCTCTTAATGATCATGAAGTCTGCTCTATTTGCTCGCGTTTTTCTGAACTGTCACATGTCTGACCCAAGAGCTGGACTGATACATTCTGCACACAAACACGGCAAGTGCTTCTCCAGTGACAAGCTCTAATCTGATTGTCTGGCTTCACGTAATTTCTGGGAGTCGAGAAGCATTGATTTCTATCAGTCTGCCAGGAAACAAAGTAATGTTTATGAGTTCCCAATGCCATAATAAACCCAGAACATCTAGGATTTGACAAGGTGCAAGAAATCTGAGAAAGATACTGACCATCTTTCATAGATTTGTGATTGGTGGTTGCTAAGGTCTTCTGGCTGGTTGCTAGGGTGTTACTAACGCATTCTGTCTGGTTGCTTGGGGTGGTCTTAAGCTGTTTTGTGTGGTTGCTAGAGCATTACTAAGGTGTTCTTAGTGTTTGCTAGAGCGTTGGTGTTGTAGATGGTTGCTAATGTGTTACTAAGGTGTACTGGTTGGATGCTAGAGTGGTGGTAAGGTGTTCGGTGTGGTTGCTAGGGCGTTAATAAGGTGTTCTGAGTAGCTGCTATGGCGTTACTTTTCTGGCTAGTTGCTAGGGTGTTACTAATTTGTCCTAGCTGGTTGCAAGGGTGTTGCTAAGGTGTTCTGGCTGGTTGATAAGGCATTACTAAGGTGTTCTGGTTGGTTGCAAGTGGTGCTAAGGTGTTCAGTGTGGTTGGTAGGTCATTGATAAAGCATTTGGGTTGTTGCTAGGGTGTTGCTAAGGTGTTACTAAGGTGTTGCTAATGTGTTTTTGCCGGTTTCAAGGTCATGTTAAGATATTCAGTGTGGTTACTATGGCATTAATAAGGTGTTTTGGGTTGTTGCTAGGGTGTTACTAAGGTGTTGTAGGTGGTTGCTAAGATCTTCTGTCTTGTTGCTGTGGTTTTACTAAGGTGTTCTGGGTGGTTGCTATGGAATTACTATTCTGGCTAGTTGCTAGGGAGTTACTAAGGTGTTCTGGCAGCTTGCAAGGGCAGTCCTAAGGTGTTCTGGGTGGTTACTAAGGTATTTTAGGGTATTATTAATGTGTTCTGGGTGGTTTCTAGAGCGTTATGAAATGAAAACAAAGCTTTGAGAGATGCACATCCTTTCAGTAGTGTGGACTGCACCATTGAAAATAGGTCTATTACATTGGAGTTTTTAACAGATAGTTCATCTAAAAATGACAAATATGCCATGATTTATGATATGATATGATATGTTACACACACACACACACACACACACACACACACACGAGACGCACACAGAAAGAAAATTCTTTCATTTTTTCAGAGCTTAATGACTTCTGTTGGTTCCTCACAGAATGCGTGAGGACAAGTTTTAAGGACCACTTCAATTTCTGTCCACACATGCTGTGTTGTTTTGCGGTCAACCGTCGGCTCTTGTTGTGATTGCACTTCAGACAGAAGGAAGCCCTCCATTTGACCTGAGACTGAAGCAATAAATGCGGTACTAACAGTGTGTGAGAGAGTCTTACAGTGGCCATCAGAGACATTCAGACTCGACGAGAGGAGACATGTGTGTGTGTGTGTGTGTGTGTGT